GCTGGGTTTCCGCGGTCCGCCGCGCTGCGGGGGGCTGCCCGTCCTTCAGCCGCGCTGCCTGGGAGCGCAAAGCCCGTGGCTCGCTCTCCCTCCTCCGGCCTAGCGCCTTCCCGGCCCAGAGACATTGTTACAGGCGTGGTGGTGGTGGATACGTAACAGTGAAGGACAGTGTTTAAAACCCCGATGGCAAACCCTGCCGTGATAAGGAAACAGAATGAGCTCCTTGCACTCGGTCACCCTTGTGACCGCGGAGCTGATACCTATTTGTGTTAAAGGTCTTTGATGTTACGCTTGCCTTTTGCGTGGTATCAGGATGCTTCATCTGACTTGGGGACCAGAAAGATTTAAGAAATCTCTGGCCGCCTTTCCTTCTCCATTCCACTCACATCCGCTTGCACCGAACCTCCTAGACGTGCAGAAGCGGATTTTTTACTGCAGCTGCAACACTGTGGTCATTGATGCTTTTTTGAACAGAGTACAAATTCAGTAGTAAACATTGCCAAATTGGTAATAATATATGCATATACTCGCCAATAACAGTATTACCTTGTTCTTATATGGTGTTTTCATCAGTCGATATTAAAGGATGTTAAAAAGAGAGTGGAAGCATTGTCTCTGCTTTGGATTTTACTGTGTAACTGATAAAAGGCTGTGAAGGACGTGATCTTTCCGTAAAAGAATCTTTTCCTACCTGAGTAAGTACACACTCTCACTCACTGCTCCTTTCAAAACGGTACTGTAAAGATGTGTATTCCTACTGAAAGCACCCACTCAAGTTTGCGATCTCGGTCCAAGATGCTAGTGGAGTCAGTGTGGTTAGCCAAGGAGCTCCCTGACAGAGCTGCAGAGTTCACCTCATTTAAGCTGAAGCAAAAACAAGTAACGCCTTGTCTCGTTGCTAATACGCACAGATGTCTCAACACATCCTTTTTCCAAGGAAGACAAAGCCTAGGCAAAGCAAATAAAAGCATGTGAGTTCTGACTACTGAGTCAGTCCAGCTGCCTTATCCATACCACCATCCTCAAAAACCTCGTCTCCTCTTTAGGTGTCTGAAGAGCCATAAACGCATAAATTTGCAGCTCCCTAAGAACTTTAGTTGGTGTCTCCATATGTGCCTCATACAGTTGCTATCTCAGCCAGGTCAAGTCCGCTTCAGACCTGTTACACAGCCCCCAAGGATCTTGGCGTGGCAGATAGGATAAAGTGGAATTTCTAAAAACAGCCCTGGCCACACAGTTGTCTGTGCTCAAGGCCACAGGCATGAGGAGGAGCTCCATCTGCATATTGCAGTATGTAATGGTAGTCAGAGTCAATGACCACCAATGAATCAATGAGTCAATGGTAGCTGGTCAGAGTTAGCTAATATCTGGTAGCTACAGCATGTGCTGTAACGAGGCTGAGCGCCTTCCTCGGCTGGGGGATTGAGGCACACGTCCCTCAGAGGAGCGCCACGTCCAACCGATTAGAATCAAGGTGACCTAATTCTCCACGTGCAGCTATGCTAGTCTGCAAAGGGGACGGTCTTCTCATCCAGCTGTGATGGCCCTTTCCTTGGAGGGGGAAGATCTGGGTTCTAGTCTCTGCTTTGCAAACTGTTCCAAGTATCTAAGCAGCCTTCGACCAGGTAAGGAACCCAGTCCCTTTTGCCTCAGGAAAGGGCCTTTGCTGAGAGACTACATGGTCATGCTCCCTTTCTGGGATGTGGACCTTGAATTCCCTTTTGCAGATCTGCCCAGCCTCCCCAGGAAGGGGGAAGGGGGGGCACTGCTTTGGTTTCCCCTACAGCCTCCACTCAGCTGGTTAGGACCCTGCTGAGGAGTGGACTGGAAGTCACTAGATTGAAAAGGGCATGGAGCTTGGTTCTCATGCTTCTTTACTGAGTAGTCCAACTTCTAAATTATTGATTGTTCTTTCTTTTTTTTTTTTTTTTCCAGTTCAGGCATTTACCAATATGTACCATGTTTTGCAATACTGCACAGAGGCAATAAAACCTGTGTAAAGCTTCAGGGCATAACTTTGGACCTTCTGAAGCAGCCTGCTTGGGAAACCCAGCCCTCAGTCAGAACAAAACAGATGAGGCAGGTCCGCTGCTGGCCACATCTTAAAATAAAAGTGCAAGTTCTGCTCCACTTTTTAAAGGCTCACTCAGTGTAGGCTGTGAATCCTTTTGCATTGCAGAGTCAACAACTTAAATAACATGAGGAATGGGATTTCAGGCATATCTTTTTCTTTAGCATCACCTGTTGACTAGATTAGTGGCTCCCTGGTCAGCATATTGGCCAATTTGGACCTCATGCTGAGCCTTTCCTCTTTACTGCGTGCGGAGTCTGTGTATTTAAATCAGAGCTATTGAATACCTTCTGGGAGACAATGCCTAAAAATCAGGTGAGGTAAAATGAAGTTTTGCCATTCCCATGTCTTGTGGCAATTGAGATTTGACAATCATTCCTTCAACTTAGCAAAGCATAATAGCTAGAAAACAAACCTTGACAAATTCAGATTATTCAAGATGGATGCTTTCTAAACGTGACGATAAGCAACCACTGAAACCATCTGCAGAGGCTGTCCATTTCTGGAAACTTTTTCTAAAAGATATTTTTTAGTGCAAAAGGGAAGTAATTAATGTAAATCCTGTGGCCCATGCTATACAGGCTGTCAAACCAGATCACAGTAGTCTAGTTTGGCTTCATAATTTATGATTTTAATATGTGTATTAAAGCAAGATTTAATCTAAAATATTCCCTTAATTGATTGCTGCAAGATATCTTAGCAGGGTCAACTCATCCAGTGAGTTGAACAGCAGCATAAACAAAGGATTGTCACTATCCCTAATAATTTTCATGCATTGCAAACCAGGTCAGGAGCCTCCCCATAGGACTCATTTTATTCTTCATTTTTTTCATTTAAGTTCCTCTGTCTTATTTTGGAATCAGAACTAAGAAGGCTACTGACAGGATTGATTAGTCACTGTTCCATTCATCCAGAATCTGACATTTTAAAGGCTGTCATTTGCATAATAATTTAACTAACTATTAGTCTATACTTATGAGAGCACTGCTTATTTGTAATATCCTGCCAGGAGATTGACTTCCTAGATCCTGATATGAACAGCCTGAACCATAGTTCATGGAAGCATCCATGCCCAGGAGGGTCAGGGAATCATAATTCATACATACCGGCTTGAGGAAAACAGGCCTTTGTAAAAGGCGTTCATAAGCTTTAGGATACAGATAAACCTAGGATAGAGTTAACAACCTAGTGTTAAATCCACAAAGGGTCTTAGGGGATGGACTCCAAAAATCATATAAAATCAAAAGATACTCACATTTTACCAATATGTTTTCTTAGGTGCCTGAAGGTCTCCTTCTGTGCGTGCTCAGAGCTGCCTCGGTCTAATCAGGCCTGAGCAGCTCAGGTGCCTGTCTCATATCTAAACGTGATCTGAACATGAGCAACCCCTTTGCTACATGCTCTCATGACCTCTACTGTGTGCTCCAACAAAGCCTAACCCCAGCAGGACCACGCTCCACACAATCGTGAGGGTTAAGACCGCTTCATTCGAACGCTTGACTAACGAAAGCAGTAATCACTTTCTAGTACAGTAGCTTAATGGCTAGAGCAGGTATCAGTGCAAGATCCGATTTGATCTTCTTTTTTCTCTGGGAAACAGAGGGGAGAGGGCTCACGTCCCTCTCCCCCCCACCCTCCTCTCCACCCTCTAGGAGGGTGCCCCCTCCTAGAAACCACCTAGCTGCAGGCGCTTTGAGGGCAGAAGGTGGCTGGCGGGGGCACCCTTCACCTCTTCTGCACAACTTGTTCCACTAGGCAAGAGAGAAATCAAGATTTACCAAGAGTTTGGGGGAGAGGGGAAAAGGAAGGGAGGAGAAGAAAGAACAAGTGCACGATGACATAATCTAGCCATCAGAGCACTGATGCTGGAGGTGAGGGAAAAAGCAACCGAGGCACCCCGGATATGAAAGAAGTTTTACATATTTTATCTAGCCAGTGTGTAACGCCAGTTTAATTCCCTGGTAGACCTAGGCTGATGGTTATCTACAGGCAGCTGTGTTTTTGTAACCACTTTGTGACACTGCCATCTGACACAGATTCAGCGAACACCACTGTTTGTCAAACCCTTTTCTTAACACAGCGCAACCATGAGGCAATCCCGTTTGTAACAGGGAAGCGGGCACTCGGCAGCAGGCCCGCAGCGAGGCACACGCGTGCCCAGAAGACATGCCCTCAGGCCAGCTGGATCAGCAGCTGAAACTGTGCTTTGCATCTTATTATACAAAGAGGAAGGAAGGAGATGCAGCTAAGTCGATTACACGGGGATGTGTGGGATTGGGCATGTGGGTTCCTACCCCCAGGCACAGACAACTGCTTATGGTTTTCTTCACAAACCATGCGCCGTTTCAGGACGCTGGCAAGGATGCCACCCAGCTGAGCGCCAGAGTCTGTACGCATTTGGGGAGCCAACCATAACAGTCGCTGCTTCGAGTCATGGTTACAAGCTGTTATGAAAGACAGACTTCATTTTCCGCCTGGCGCTCTTGCCTCTCCCCAGCTCGCCAGCTCACAGACTTTGCTCTGTGGTCTGACTCTTTAAAAGCCCAAACAGTTTATCATTGATCCAATATAATATTTTTACTAGTGGCAGCCAGCACCCCAACCTGCAATTATTGGTAAAAATTTGTCCCAAAGTGCAGTAATCTTTCTGGCCAAGGTCACTGTGTCTTTTTGTATAGGGCCCAGAACAGCTGGACAATAGTTTCAGTTGGACCTGCCGACACTATCACACAAGCCATGCAGGATTAAAAGCCTCCCAAAACCAAAGGAAGAGAATCCTGAAAATCCTGATGAGAAAGTCCTTTTAAACCCCATTCTTTATTTCTTGCATGACAAAGTTTTGTCTTCCAGCATGTGACCTTCTTTTAATTAGATTATTTAAATCTATCTGTCAGTACACACAGAAATTATTCACACTTCCTCCCAGGCATGATTACATTTGAAGGCCTTATTTATTGTTTAGTAAATACCTCTCTTTTTCCCTTCTGATGTTCTTTTGAAAACCAACATGCATTATACCAGACATCAAAGCGGTTCCTTCAGAAGCAGTGCTGTGGGCAGCAGAATTGCTTTTATGAACATAAAGCATACTAAATCTCCCAACAGGAGAGACATTTCAGGCATAACAACCATTTCAAAAAAAAAAAAAAAAAAAAAAAAAAAAAAAAAAAAAAACAACCCAAAACAATAAGGAAGTGTTAAATGCTGAAAACTAATGCAATGGAAATAAGAACAGTCAGATAAGGAACTGTTTTTCATCACAGCCCTATTGGAGAGAAGTTATTTTGTTGCATGACTTCTTTCAAGGGTTTTACTCAGCTGAGTTGTCCTATTGCCTTAACAGTTATTGACATAAAATAAGGTGAGGATTTGATCCACTGTTATAGAATAGCTAAAAGAAAATTTATCTTAATCTCTTCCTCCTACATACTGAAGCCCAAAAGAAGCAGACAACCAGAAGAGTGTCAGACACAAGATGCACTTGTGATCCAAGTTGCAAGCTATGAAGTTTGGTCAAGTGGGAAAAAATGCTTATTTGGAATTTCTATTTCACCTATATGAAACTGAAGATGGAAAATAAAGCTGCGTGAAATCACCGGGAGAGCCGAAGAAACCAGATTTTTGCTCTCCAAAACAACAATAAAAAAGCAGACTTGTACATATTACAAATGGTGTATATGCTGTAGCATCCTGTCCTGTGAGGGCTTCTATGGATCATTTTCTTGCCAGTTATACTCAGTTTGCCATTTATCATTTCATCGCCAAGTTTTGCTACTAACTGAGATACTGCACCTTTTCCAAATTAACTTTTTATATTGAGATAGTGGTTGTGGCCTTCAGAATGTCATACAATGTTTTTTTGGTAGTCTACTTAAGAAACATTTTCTTGACTCTAGTATCTTTTCTTTGATTTTGTGGGTATTTTTAGTAAGGAGAAATTACTAACCACCAATAATTTTAAAAAGTTAAAAGTCTTTGAAAACTACATAGTCACAGAAATTTATTTCTCTGTTTCAGTATTGGTAGCTTGCAGGCCATAATGACAACAACCACACATGCAGAAGACTTATTTTTTAAGCTAGCTACATGTCATCCTGATTGGAAATTATTGCTGTACTTTTAATCAACATTGTATAAAATATTTTATCATTTTCCTTAAAAGCAAGAAGAGTGAAACCTTTAAAAAGTCAGACCTCTGAGGAATTAATATTTTATTACAATATTTAAAGTATGTTTCTTCTAGACAGCCTCTTTAACCAGCACCGTTTTCTGCATGTGTTAAAAAGGAAATGGAGAAGTGAGATTCTAATTGTTACAATTCATTACAAAGTGTCTGCTACGGGGTTTGGCAGTAATTTTGCTACAAGATCAAATGACACAGGTTCAACTATTCTGCATGTATGAAATGAGCAAATCTTCAGCTAGTGTCAATCAGCATTACTTCTTGGCAATTGGTGGAGTTGCGCTGTTTTACAACACACAGGATTGCTTCACCAGGAGATGGTCCTATTTTCCCCCATCCAAATTTCCACATCTTTGCAGTGAATTGCATTGCAGGCTGTTGACCGTTACTAAACGAGCAGGAGCAGAAAGAGAAAAGAATTTAAGTTGTACATTTTTCTAAGGAGCTCAGTTCATGTCAATGGAATAACATGTTGTAATTATTTCATATATTTCAAACGTCATACTTAGAATACATTTTTTTCAGGCTTTGAGGCAGAGTAATCGTCTCCACTTACCTGGCGGTCTTGAACAGCCAGGCCTCCTTCGGATCCATTCAGCATACTGAACTTAAATTTGTGTTTTTCTCATTTCCATTCTGTATGACTTTTCATAATAGGCACGTGTATCCTTGCCAACCATTTTAACAAGTATATTTATGAGTAAGGTTTGAAATAGGAAATTTAGTTTTACTTTAGGAGGTTTAACTTATATTTAATAACCTCATGTTCTAGAAAAAAGTTAAATCTTGACAAGCAGGCATTAATGATTTCTGATTAAGAGTTTCTAAATTGAGTGGAATACCTAGAGCATTTAAGTCAAGATTTTGTTTCTGATTCTTTGCTATTTATTACCACTATCTCTGACTAGTGGTAGATTATTTGAAATCCAAATGCTCCCCTGGCATTTTCTTTTCGCCCCCAGAAATGCCTAACGTGGGATCCGAGCTGCTGCTGAGGCCGTGCTCAGCGTTTTGCGCTCTTCTGGGGGAGGAGGCAGCAGCACTCTGCACCCCGGGAGCGACGAGGGCATCCCCTCAGCACTCTCCTCCTGCCTCGCTGCCGCTCTGGGGTGGACTGAAGGACAGCCAGGAAAGGAGAAAGCCCTTGTATCAGCCTCGTATCACCTACTTGTTCAATGCAATCTGCTTCAGGCAGCGTACTGAAAACGCCAACAATTTCTTGCTTTGTTTATCAATATTACACAATCCAAAGTAGACGTACAAACTTTGGGATCTGAATGCGTCACTGCTAAGAACTGGGGCTAGAAAATAATAGATTGCAAATCCCAGAGGTAATGGGATTTGATCTAAAAAATTAAGTAACATAATGGGCATATTTGACTTCTGTTGTTACAGGCAGAGATGTGTGTTGGTCATAGAAGTATCTCAAAGCACTTTAATTATTCTGACTTGGCTGAGATACACACAGAACGCATGCATGCATTAGAAAAGTTAGAATTTACATTTTAAACGTTTTACATGACACCGATTTTACTGATACTTACTTTTAGAATATTTCGAAGTAGCTTAGAAATTGGTAGGTTAGTGCAATCCTACATCTTAGACAAAACGTAACAGACAAAGACAAAAGGTTACTAATGTTTGCTATTTATTTTGTTAAGTCAATAAAAAGTGCATAGTACAAGCCCTTTATCCCAATCCGAGTACTCAGTAAAAGATTACTGGGAAACTGCAAATGGCACAGATGATTTTTGTTTGGCATAATTCAGACATTTTAAACCACCAATTTACATTAGGTACATCACATCATCACTCTTCCTTTTTCAATAATGAACATTACAAGGCTAAGTGATCTGCAGACAATAAACGAATACATATGATTTCTCAATTCAGAGTATAATAATTGTGTTAAGCAGACTCTAAAAATACTATTGTTTTAACAAAGTTCTAAGCTAAAGTATAACTGTAAACTGTCCTCCATACTTCCCAAGTTGCTACAATTTGTCTCTTACCAACTGAGCTTAAAACCCTTATTACACAATTAATCATATCCTGAAGCTTCACATCCCATTAATCTCTCCCACACTTCTTTTCAAAATTTACCACAAACATCTGCAACCACGATACAATTATTTCATCGCAAACTACATCACTAAAGGCCAGATTTCTGCCACCCTTACTAAAGCTGCTACTAGTACATTATCTCAGAGTAGTCCCACAAACTTCAGTGCAACTACTTGATGAGTAAGGCACTATTTAACATGAATAAGAGTGGCAAAATACAGTCTTATAATAATTTACTTTTACTTTAATTAGAGAGTGGCGATCTGAAGGTTATGTCCCGAAGAGAGTATCTCTGAATTTAAAAGGCATACGTTTTGATGTGGGATAGTGGCCTGGCTCTTTAGTAAAAGATTTTACAATAAAATATTGCCAATGTTCTTCTTTTACATAGAAAATTTAAAATAGCAATTTACATGAGGAAAGCATACATGTATAAAATCACTGGGACAATTACTTAAGAGGAATTTCAAACAAAGACAGTTCACTCAAATGTGAAACATAACATTTATCTGAACAAAAAGTTAATTTGCCAAGATCGTTAGAGCTGGGTGCAAGAACGATCCTTAAAAGTGAGGAGCATCTGCTGTAAATCTCATTGACTTCAACAAGACCAGGAATGGCTCCTTTTGCCTGAAATGAGGCCTGTTTTAGTTAGTTATTTAATCAATTAGAAGCTTGCTTTATGCATCCAATAGTGAAGAATTCTGGTCAAAAGTTCTCATCAGAGAAAAGGCCAGTGTAGTAGATTATTTCTGTTTTCTTGTTGGTGCAAGAAGATGATGCTGTATGACTTATTCTGTTCAAAATATTATCCCAAACACAAACGTACAAGGAAGGCAAAATACAACCACGGTCAGATTGCATGTCCCAGTGACATCTTTACACAGTGTTTGTGGCCTGTACACCATTAGACACAGTAGGACAAACACTCTCAGTTTCTCAGCTGCAACTCCATCGCTTTACATGGCATTGCACTGATGTGACTGAGAGCATCTGGTCCAATCCTCTTCACTTTTGTTTAACATGCGCTCCTATGTATTGCTTGGGAGCACACTGTTCCACAGAAATTCAATGGACAATTATGTCAAATTACAGACGCCTTTCTTCAGGTCCACGTTATACCCTTTCAAGGAGGCTTAGCTGACCTGTCATTTACCCTGAGGAGGAAAACCCTGTGTCTATCAACCATGGGATCCAACGTGAGATTTTGTTAGAGCCCGTTAATACAAACCTTTACGCATGTGAACAGTTAGTCCCTTCAGCTTCGTAACTAAAATCCTCATGAAATAAAAGTTTGTAGAGCAAGGCTCTGAATTCCCATATGCCTTTCTACCGACCTTTAAAGAAAGAAGCTCCATGTTGGTAACATAAAAATGCTCTTTACATTATTCTCATCAATTTTTTCAAATTAATCAAGAAAAATATACAGTGTCACTTTTCTGTACATCTTTAAAATGTCCTTAAATTAATGTACATAAAAAAGTCATTCCCATTTGCTAAAATGGGAGATGTGCACAGTTATGTGCACAGCCACACACACACACAATCACAAACAAACACATACCACACACACACACACACACACACAAATATTAGAGGGAAAAGAAATGCCTTATATGGTCACCCGCAATTTTGTTATTCTACATTTACAACCAGTAAATAAGGATGAAATGTTAGGAATTGCTGATAACATACAGGTGAAAAAATCTGAACATCCACTAGGCGTGGTATTTCAGAAGTTGGTAACCTGTTGGTATGATTTCATCCTGTCCATTATATCATGGCTACAAATTTGCTATGATACTAATTATTAAAAGACCATATTCAGGACAGAAAATTCTACCAAGTTCTTGTCACTAGTTTTCTCTTTTCATAAAATCTACAAGTAAACAAATCAGTTTTTGGAATAAATTGTTTTTGACAATATATTGAATAAGATATATAATTTATTAATGAAAAGATTAAGTTAATTTCATTTTTGGTGGTGGTATAATCTTTTGTGTCAAGTTCCCAATATATATGCAAAGGCAATTATCACATTCACTTCTTTGCACGCATACACACGTACTTTAATTCTAGTGGACAATCCATGCTTTTGCCAACAACCCTGAAAACTATGTTAGTGGTCCAAAGACCTGACTAAAAGCTGCTCTGAACTGAGGGCAGATACAAAATAATTTCTTTTTTTTTTTTTTTCACCACATAACTAAGCTAATGATTGCAACCATAATATAACTCTCAAAAATATACTGGAGAAAAAATAGGGATTAATCTGAAGAATGATCAGTAACCTTCCATTATTATAGATGCAAAGGGATTTTCACTTTCCTTCAATGAATACCAGAAACCACTGCAAAGAAATTAAGATCGCTGTAACAGAAAGAAGCTAAGTAGAACGTCCACAGTTACAATAATAACCAAAAAAAAACCCTGTAATGCCTTATTATTTAACCAAATCATCATCTACTAGAAATGGTAATTACATATGAAGCAAAAATTAACTTTAAGTAGCTAAAAGCAGTTAATGAATATAACTGCTGAATGATAACTCCGCTGTATGTAAATGAAAAAAGAAAACAACATCGAACGGGGTTTAAGAGTAATCTGGTCACTTCGTTCATTTGGTCGTGCAAGGTTTTAGCTGCTGAACTTTTCCAATACTGAAAGCTCTAGTCCACAGGTGGGGCTGGTGGCTCTTGTCCCTACGGGAAGAAGGGAGGAAAAGAAAAAAAGCCCCCACAGGATTAAAAACAGTGCTTCACATTAGAGGACTTGGCAATAAAAACAATAACTCCGAAGAGAAACAAAGCGCTTTCTTTTAAGACCTTCCACTATCTCTTTCAAAATTGAGAGTAAACGAGCATCAAACGACACTACTGTTGATCCCACATCTAGGACAAAGATCCTCTTCCCAGTTTCATGCTGTAACTTTGTTTACTTCTAAAAGGCTGTGATTTTTTTAAACCCTTATACTGAAGAAGACTGGATACAGTTCCAATCAGAGAAAATACAGAAAAAAATAATTTAGAGGGGAAAAAAAAAAAAGATAAAGTCTCTATTAAAAACAAATACATTTAGATTATTGTAGAGTCTCTGCAGGGCACTTTAAGACACACTTACACTATGTGGACTGGTTGGCTTTCCAGCTGTATTGGATCCTCTCAGATTACTAGGCCTCAGTAAGAACAAGACAAGTGCAATCACCATCCAGGCCACCATTATCATGGCAAAGCTGATGCCATTGTCACTGGAGGAACTTGGTCCTGGCACTACAGACAAGGAAAACTCAAGTTACAAAACAAAGTGTTATCAGAGGTCTTTTCCCAAAATGAAAACAAGAGCGTAACATAAATCTCAGGGAAAAAATAACGTTTATTTGTCAATCAAGTTTTCTTATTAGTCCTTTCTTTCGGCTTTAAGACAAATAATTCTTTGTTAATGCTACACCATTTTTATCACATTTCCTCTCCCTTTAAAAAGAGAGAATCTGTTTCACAAGATTTCACTGAAATTCCCAGAATTGTCATGAATATTTCTTAGTTCACATCAACTCTCAGTGAAGTGGAGATGATGAATATACACTATACTACTGAGGTGTTGAATTTTATGAAAAACCAAACTCAGTGCAAAAAATCCCAGCAACATATTTACGTGAGAAGAACCCCCACATGTACATCGATGTTTGTTTTTTTGCCTCCCACAGATACAAAAATAAGACTGAAACATCTTACAGGGAAAATCTTAAGTCATTATCATGCTCCATCATGTTGGTTGACAAGCCAATAGCACTGCAAATCCTACATGTTGTGCGCGTACACTAGGCTACTTTCACAATATGGCAGATGCATCAGGGCATAGCAAGACATTATCTTCAGCGAGTAGCAGGGCCTAACTCTCTGGGGCGATGTCTGAACATTTGCGCTCCATGATGTGTCCCATGACCCTGGTCCCCTGACTATCCAGGCTGGGGACCTGGCTGATCCCTGGCACGTGGAATGGGGAAGTATGCCTGGGTCCTGCAGTACAAACCCAAGTACGTTTTTAACCCAAGTTAAAAGAACATCAGCATCAGTACTCCTCTCCGAGTCGATCCACACGCAAAAATACGACTCTACAGGCTAGAAGCTGGTGGCATTAGAGACAATAGCTTAAACTCTGTTGTTAGCCCAAACAAAGACAACATGCCAAATCCAGCAAGAAGTGAGCAAACTAATGATTACAATTTTGTTAGCTAATGTAAGCAGCTAACTCCAAGTTATTTATTGAGGGTTTGTTCAAACAAGTGTCCGTGTCAGATATGCTAGATCTCCATGATCTGTCATCTAGGCCATGTGGTATTTCCGATAGAATCAAGGAAAACAAATCTGTTACAAGGGGAAGCAAAATGATGATGAGACATATGAAAAAAGCGAAGCCAAGGAACAATATACACATTTTACATCCAATTTCCATAAAGAATAGACTTCAGAGCATGGAAATCAAACTTGAGAAAATCCCCCCAGAGTAGAGATGGCTGGTTAGTCTTTTTGGATCAAGAAAGCCTTGCAAAAAATAGCACATTTGAAAGCTTCAACTTTTTCCCCATGGAACATCATTTCAAATAATCAAATTGTAACTAATGCTGTCAACGGGAAGTGTAAACCAATATGCAGCTAATCATCAATGGTACTTATGTGGCTGCGTTTGCAATAGTATCTAAGCCCCTAACAGTATTCACCGTACTTACTCACACAGTAGAGCAATACCATTTGTCTCTAGTAGACCATATGGCTTGACTGCCACACAGGAAACCTGTGGCAGAGCACAGAACTCAACTTGATTCTCATGATTGGCTTTTTCATCTACTAAGCTAGCTTTCCTTTTGTGCTGCCAATAAAACCAGCAACATTCTAGTCTATAAAATTACTAAAATGAAAGCGCATTATTTAATATTGTATAAGGCCAATGTTCTTCTCTCGCTTCTTGAAAATGTGCTTTTTGAATCCAAAAGAAAATGTGTCACTGATCTGAAGTGTTAACAGTTTGTTTTCAAGGCCAATTAATACTATGCTATAATGAATTAACCTTCAGAACAAGAAGGGCTGAACAACAAGGGGGTTCTATTTTACTACTAAAGTTGAAAACTTCAATGTCTGGGGAAATTCCACATGGAGACTGATATCCATCAGAATTTTCAGTTGTCTCATCAAGTCATTCGGCTCCTCCCATTACAGAGTCAAGTCTGGATTACCTCAGTGTTGGTTGGAAGTTGCTATTATTCAACATTTGCTAGTTAATCTATACCGAGTAAACTGCAGGAGTCGGTCATTTCATTTGAAAGTTAATGCTGATATCAGAGAACCACTCTCATCCCTGTCATACTGCGTAGCTTTTTTAATCAAGGCTCATCTATGAAAGTGGTTTCTTCAAAACACAGCTAAGAAACAGCAATGCGGCACTGTAGGGAAGCTTACAGCTATTTCATTCACAACACAGCTGTTCTGTGAATATAACCTTCACAATGCAAAACTGTTGGACTAACATCCTTCACCAACATTACACATGCTTGAAAGTGTCAAAGAAGAAAAATAAAAATGCATAAAGGAAGCTCAGGCTTTTCACGGCACCAGTGAAACCATTAACGCTTTATGAGCAAACAAAACTGACAGAGCTCCACCTTCTGATTGTCCGAAATAGAGACATTTCTATTCAATTACAAATGGCATTTCTTTTGGAGAGAGCCATACAGCCTGATGTGCATGAGGAGAAGGCATAGTGGAAACAAAGTAAATGAAAATGTTACAGTTTTTAATCCATTAAATTCTAACATAAAACTGATTTGGAACAGCATATGCAATTACACGGGTAAGAGTTTAGATTTGCAATCTCACTGTGTTGAGGGAAGCTAGTACTATATTAGCATGGTGCATCAGTATTTAAAAACTTGGATGACCTTATATACTCCATCCAGTAAACTAGCATATAACTCAGCATGAAAAGAACAACTGCTTTATTTTTGGGATTCCAGATAGCACTAATAGCCATCCTGAGACTACCTCCAGCAGTACTTCAGACAACCTTAGGTACCTACTTTGGCACATATGTTGAGGAGAGCATTGAAAATTCAGATAGCCTATTATGCTGGATTCCCCACACAGTGGGGAGAAATAAGGAATAGTCAGTCTGCCTTCAGGAAGTGCTTGGAGTTTTGCTGAACCACAGTATATTTGGGGTCCACATTTACACAAGATTTAAGTAAATGCTGCTAGGTCAGTTCATGCTATGGGTCAAAGAAGGGAACAGAAGGAATGGCAAAGGCAAACCATAGGCATTCCTACCAGACATGACTGCTATCCAGCCTGGGCTGTAATGCAGTCTGGATGGAGCCAAGTGTGCTGAAACATAGTCTAGACTAAGTTAAGCATGACAACAGCTGATCTAACACGGTCTGGCCCTGTACTACTTACTCAAAGCATGCTGGATTCTTAGAACAGTCACAGTATTGTTTATACTATTCACATAGCCACTTAAACCCACCTCTTTTACAAATGACCACGTGTTTTAATAAGGATGTGAGATATTTTAGAATTTGCTACTTTAATCTCCTAACATAAGGAGAAGAGGATACGCCAAGTCTCACACAGCTGCGGCAAATCACACTTTTCCAAGTCTTGCATCATGAATCAAGAGAATGGACAAGAAGCTTTTATAGCTACCGGGAGCAATAACATGCAGAAGAAACAAAGCTTTCACTACAAAGAGCTCCATCACGAAGATAACAAAATAATCAGCTGAGATCAGCTTATGGATGGAGAACAGTTGACTGAAGCTGAAATTAAGCAGGATGGAATTTATGCTGATGGGCAGAAGAAAACAGAAGAAACAAAAGAAAACTCTTAGCTCACATCCACAGTGGTTCTACCTATAATTGCTATTTTTGCAGGTAATTCAGGAGTGTTTTTTTATTCCTTGCAGATATGAGGTTGTCCTACAAGACCACTGCTGGTCTTGTAGGACAAGACGATACTTTCTAATTTTTCCAGATGGCTAGGAAATTGTCCCATCCTGGCCTCAAAGACTGCTGTTCTTGCCATCACCCACCTCAGTTACAGCAAAATCTGGTTATTAATCTTCAGTGCCTCGGACCAACTACTACAGAATGTTGCAGTACATTTCCTCATTGTAACCTATGTCATTGAGCCCAACAAAACTCTTAATCTCTAACCTGACTGTCAACAGAACACTGAATTTAGCTCACTATCTTCATTTTCAAAGTACCTGGTTCTTTGGGCTCAGCATACCTACATACCCATGTAACTCTGAATGAAGTCTGTGGCCAGTTCTGCCCCTGAGGTTACCTGGAACTTTTTACCATAGCTGCATTATCTCTGTGCAGGAAAAGGCTTTATGAGGTGCCCGGTCTGAGACTGCGGGATGAACTCCCACAGGAGCTAATGACTATGGTGAATCCTCTCTGTTGGTACAAGACGCAAATCTCTGGCTTGCCTTCTCCCACAGAAGCAGAGAAGGATAGGTGCTTTTTAGTAGCTGCAAAACAGCACTAGGCCACATAAACTAGTCTTCTCCCAGAGAGAGACTGGAAGGGAAAAGAAATCTTATGTGACAGATGTTTGCCACCTCATTCACTGTTCTACTGGAAGGCAGTCAAAGCTACCAAAATGATGAGGTTGGTAAAAATCGTTTCTGAAGACTGAAAGTCAACTACTGTGCAAGCGAAATCTTAAGAATACAAACATTAAAATAAATAAATGCCCTTGCTAAGTACATCTTATGGAGAACTAGGAGCCTAGTTCTCCTCTTAAAGTGCTCTTTTTCATTCCTCTGAATTCAGAGTGAGGGCTGTACTCTAAAGGTACAGAGGGAAGACTGCCTTTCTTTTACTGCAAAAATGTATTCCAGGTGTTATTTTCAGTCTCCTCACATGGTACAGATCTCCTTTGGATCTTCAGCCTTTTACTGTTTAATATCTGCAAGTGGAAAGGCAAAAATATGCTCTCTGACATGTGCTTTCTTTCCGTAATGTTTTTAGCCCTTCCTGATCTCTGACAAAAAAGCAGGAAACGTTATGAAGGAAGAGGTATTTTACAGATGAATCAACAGGGAAGACAAAGAGCCTGTAGGGCCTCGAGCAGATAATCCCTGCAAAGCTGACTTTCTCAGAGGCACGGATAGGGAAACTGAGGAGAGCCCAAAGGACTGGAGCACAAGAAGGAAGAAGGGAATTACCAGAAAAGGGAGGGAAAAGCTGGCAGACATTTCATGCCATTAGGTTAGGCTGCTGTGGCTCTCCTACATCAGTATGACTCAAAGCGAATCACACAATCATTTAAAAATACATAAAAAGCTGGAAGTAGGGCAGACAACATTTAAGACACTCATCTCTGACTGTTAACATTACAAACTACGAGAGCATTTAGAAGAGTAGAGCTGAAAACATGAATGTACTAAATCCAGGTCAGACCATCTGGGAGTTGCTAGAAAACAGAGAAAAAAAATTCAGGCGGTGCCTCCTAATTCCCTTCCACATAGGAGGCTGACTTTACAGGGCCATGAGCCATCAGAGTAGCTCAGTACCAGCTAGGGACCCTCCCTGTGGCTGGATGAGCCACTGGTGCTGGAGTAGGAACGCATTTCAGAGAAATCCTCCTAGCTCCACTACCCTACATTTGCTTTAGACAGAATTCAGCAAAGAATTACCACTTTTATTCCTTATTCTAATGGAAACTGTAAGATCTTCTGATGTGTTGCACACAAAGAATCCCAATAGAATATTAAATGTGTTACATATTCCAAAATTTCAGCCTTATTTCTCCAAGGCACCCACTGAAATGGAGGGAATAGTCATCAAAATAGGTGCTTTACAGTCACAGCAGATATTCTTAGGAACAATCAGCAGTGGAACAGCTATCAAGTATAGTGCTCAAATGCTCTCTGAAGTGGGGCTCATATGCTCCTTTATGTAGGAATACAAATCTAAAAGCGCTGGTCCTGACCCTGGTGGGAAACACTTGGCACTATAGTCACTGTAATATAATAGGGCTAACAACAGTAAAAAAAGAAAAGAAATTATAGATTGTACTGTAAAAATATGTGCGGGAGAGTCCTATACATTATTTGGTGCTACTGTTTTGATCTGGCTCCAACAAATCTAAAAACCTTCTGAACTCAGGGGTTGAAGAAATAAAGTGTACTCAGTAGGAATCAATGTACAGTGTTTCTGAGAACTTCCAGCTGGTAGCAACAGCATAACACATGATGCTGCTGTGACACTGATTGAACCACAACCCTGATGTTTCCCAAAACAAAACCACAAACATCTCATCAGTTATTCCAAAACCTTGTAACTTAAGAATCTGTGTATGACAATATTCCCAGTTGCACTTCCAAAAGGAAAAGCAAATTCTGGGAATGAGCAAATGGGTGGGAGTAAAACAAGATTTTTCATATCGAAGCCCTGAAATGAGGAAACAAAGTCAGCAAGTAAAAGGAAAAGGAGCTATACGACCAAGGGGAGAGGACATCCACCTAAAACATAAGCTCATCATGATATAGCTCAACAGAACAGGAACTAAGGAAATGGACAGAAGAGAGAGCGGAGGTGCAGTTTGCATGGAGCTGGGCCCAGAATTGTTATAATCTATCTCTGAAAATGTCTTTATAAGCTTTTTGAGGCTCAATCCATTTATTTTTGCCTTTGACTCCTGGGAATCTTACACTGCTCAAGTTAGTCCAAGCATAGAATCACAGAAGCATCACAGAATAATCAGACAAAGAGCCAGTCAGAGCGTTAGTGCATCAGCATAAAAATACCTTTGCTGGAACTAAATTTAAGGCAATATAATAACATAGGAGTGGATTTACTCTATAATTTTTGCTTTGGTTTTTGAAACAAACCAGTGGTTTAGAACAATTCCTGCCAAATTGCTTGCATCTGCACACAGAGTTATTGCAAGGATCTCTTTCAGGGTGGAAAGCTACTTGCCACAGATCATCCACACCTCCACTTACTATGGCTTTAGGTAGCATGACAGCTATCACAAAAGCTTTGTACCCATAAAAACAAAACTTGCTCATTGATACGATCTTCAGCCTCTGAGCTTCATAAATACTGAGGAACCATGACTTCCAGGGCTCAGTGACAATGACCTACTACCACTTGGTTTTGACCGTGGACTACAGCTCAGAAGGCTGCACAGCCTGCCTGTCTACTTCAAACACAGGAAATATTTTGTTTCCTGTCACCTGCCTCTTTCCCACTCCTGGATGTGTGTGATTCAAGAGAAAACTAGACATGGAAGCCTAAGGTCTAGGAGACTAAAAAAGTCTGCTCCAGGACAGGTGCATTTGGGAGAGCAGGGATGCTAGAAGTCTCAAACACATAGCATTACTTGGAAAGACCATAAGGCAAGAGTAAAGCCAGCAGCATGGTTGTGGCACATGTGCTCTCCACTCTTTTTTCTGGGGATATCTGGAAAGGGTCATAGCCCACCACAACAATGAAACTGGGACTATTTCACACTGGAAAGAAGGCACAGTGCAAGTACAAGCTAGCTGCCCAGCTCCAAACAGGATTTACTGGGGACTGAAGAGGGAGGAACACGGGAGAAGGGGAAGGTAGGCACTCTCCCCACGATTCGAGAAACCCTGACCACACCGCTCCTGGACGTGCAGAAGACATGAGCACCAGCAGCTCTTACCTCCAGGAGCTCTGCTCAGGTACTCCCCACTCCCTTGGAGCCTTACAGTAATCCTAAGGCAGGCTAGCTGAGTGAGTTCATACGCTCAGTTGGTAAAGCAATACAGGAAAAACAGATCTACTTAATTTTTATTTATAAACATTTGGTGATGTTCCCTCTAGATCATGAAAAGTGTAAACAGAGCACCTCAGGGCATGCTTACATTCTTACATTACTGCAGAACCTTTGCACAGCTATGCTTTCTTGCAGAGGCTGATTACTAGGCTAATCAAATGTTATCTTCACTGTTTGGGAGGTTTTTTCCATGTGTTCCAGAGAAAATTTCAAGGACACGTACACCTTAGTACTCTACTGCACTAAGTAAGCAGCTACCAGGTCAGACAAATATAGTCACAGGGTATGTCAGCTTCTCAACTAGCACTGACGGGCAGTCTCCTCTTCCTAAAAATGGAGTAGAGGGTTCACAGTAATGACAGTAAGTTACTCAGCCCCAGCCACGAACATGTGTGTGCAGGGGGATCTGTGCTGATTTCACAGAATCTCTGGTTAGGCTGCCATGAAAGCTAGCGGGACAAATAAGGCCCCCTTCCAAATTCTCTCTTTGGGGAAAAATCAAAGTCATTCCACTTGGAGGTTAATGGTAAGATTCAATAAAGTTTGGCACCTGATCAAGGGTGGTGCTGGTATACTAACACCTCTAGCTTGCTCACCATTGCCCCTTCCATGCAATGCTTCAAATATACAAAGGTTAGTTTGAATCACTGATGCTCAGAAATTGATTTCAGTAGTGTAATATTTAATTTAATTTAGTATGTTCATATAATGTTAAATCCACTGCTGAATTTCAAAGACCAGTCAGACTATACTTTAATTACTGCTATTTATTTTACTTCCCTGCATCTGATCCCCATAATTACTCACATTCCTGAAGGCATTCTGTGTCTGTGCAGTATGACTGTGATTGTCTCAGCTGAAACAGAGAAAAGGAAAGGCATCACAATTAGCAACAAGGCTTGGTAAGCTTTTACTAAAATCATTGTGTAGTGTACTATCAGATCACAAGTTCAAGACAAGGAAGACTGTAACCAATCCTTTACTGCATCACATTTGACTTATGGTATAGGAAGAAATACGGGTATCGAGGAGGTTTCTGAACCCTATTCACATAGTAATGTCAAATCATCTGACCAAAATACTATTGCTTCCTTAAAGGCTGCAGTCAATGACTGCTTTTTAAAATTCAAGCTAGAAATCTACAGAGATACAGATATCATTAGAAACAGATGCACTCTCCACCCACATATACCTTTTGGAATTTATAATGGGTAGGTGTTATTACTATTATCTAAATCAAGTATCACTACAATACTCTTGTGATTATGTAATAATACATGATCCGACTTTGATAATGATTATGCACAGAGGAGCAGAATTAAGGTTTCACAGTTAAACTCAGCAATTACTATTTTTTCCACCCAAGACCCTTTGTAAAAGAAGGTTTTAAAATGTATTTTACTGGTTTTTTTCCTTTACTGATGGGTAAGTCTTAAAACACTTTTACTATGCTTAACCGTATAACAACTATTTGCACTTACAGACTAGGTAAGCTCACTAATTGCAAGAAAAGTCAACATTGGATATCCTGCCCTTCAGTACACTTATTTTACAGATGACAGAGTCAAAAAAAAAAAAAAAAGAGAGATACGTCATATTCTTCATCAGAAGCAGAGAGGTTAAATGGATGGGATTTAGTCTGCTTTATTATGGAAGTAGATTGTACTTCCTGCTTAGGTAGACCGTGCTGATTAATAAAAGTTGTAAAAAGTACACAATTATTACAAAGTCTTGGTTAGAACTGCCATTTGTTTTATGACAAAAGCCCTGGAAAGGGCTTAATTTTATAATCCCCGCTCTGCACAAGAGAGTTTGCAGGTACTCACCACCACAGAAGGATGCCCAGAGTTACCACGGGCAATAAGTATATGACCAGAAACATAACACAGGTCAACTAGCAGTTAACATCTCGTTATCTCTCCCTGTCCCAAGGGTGGCTAGTACTCAGACAGCATACCCAGTGTGCTCTGAAGGCAACACTGGCTAGAGGTGTTCTGACCCCAATATTATTTATCTCCTGTTCTAAATGTTATTCCACGACCAAATACAACTTTTTAAAACCATGCAATTAACTTTTCCATAAAAGCCATCTCAAAAGGGGTGCATGCACTTTTTGTGGCTGTTAATACCTTGTTCCTTCACCTGCCTACCAGACTGGCCTCCATCACCACAAAGGCAGCTTCAACCACTAAACAAACGTTAGAGCTCAAGGTTTGACTGAAAGGAGCATGTTAACCATCAGAGAAGCTTGTTCAACAACAACAGAAAGATGCTTTGGCTACAGTTACGCCTTTTGTGAAGGGTGGTCTGAGGGATGATCGTGATCACACCGTGCTGCTTCGTTCACCTGCCTCTTGACCCTTCCCTCATGAAGAGCCTGAGCAGCATCTGTCTGGAAATGCCTGTTGATGCAATAGGCCACCTTATTAAGGCACAGAAGTATTAAATCCCTGAGATTTTGTGTGTCCAGAGGACGCTATCTGATGTTAGAGTTTTGCTTAAAGGCTTGTTGTCTGTAAGATACCGAGTTTTATCCCATGGGCATCCTTGGTGGCTTCTTAAAAGACAAGGCTTTGAGACTCTTGAATGAAGAGCACTACTGGAAACACCAATGATAAGACTGCTTATTTACTGACGCGGTTCTAAGACAAATACCACTAGGAGCAGCTCTACAGATCTCTGCTGAAAAAATCCTGCCAATATGAAAAAAAGACCGCTTATTGATGGAGGAACAATGTTCCGGGGAACCTAGTGCAGATTTACAGATCCCCACTTATAAGCATTACACTTCACGGTCTCTGCTGCAATCACATCCAACAATAAAAACATTTCTTTGAAAGGGGTCTAGTTAATTTCAAAACTTCTCATTACAACTACTTGTGTTGCAAGATTTGATCAGCACCGACCACTATCCATAGACCTGATTAGGTGTTAAGAAGCCACAGATCACAAGGTGAAAACACACTCAAACATCTCCTGCTCCCCTTCCCCTCCTGCCCACAAGAGCATGTAAGACTTCACTGTTCACAAGCACGAGCTCTAGGAGAGCTCCATAAGCCAGGGAACTGCGTAACAGATGTATTTAAAACAACTCAGTGGCAGGCTGCACATTGCTCGCTGGGGATGACACACAGCAGACAACTGAAAATGAGCAGCAGTGAAAACAGGTTACTTCATTCACAGGTGAGCTGGGTTCTAATTCCTTGTAACCCAATACAAATCTTGATCCCTTATACTCATTAAATTAGTCAAAAGAGGAAAAAAGATTCTGGCACATACATGAAAAGCTTATGTAAGTTGAATAGTTGGGAAAGGTAATACCTTTTGCTGGAACTCGAATTCTCTTTCTCCTACCAATGCAATCTCTTTCCTGATAACTACACCCTTAAGAGACATAACTACTGTTGGAAAAAAACTGAACGTGGTACATTTCAATTGTCAGATAACTGGAAAAGGAGGAATTATCAGGAACTAGAAATAAACAGTCCTTTGTACCTTGGTTTTCTATTCTGATGTGGGGAGGGAGTTTGGATGAAAGTTTGTGGGATAATAATAGTAAAAAGCTGAACCAGTCCTTCCCGCTTCTCAACAAATTCCCCCAAAAGACTTTTCAAATGCATACAATTTTTCAGTTTAACAGTTGCTTAGCAGCTAAGGCTCCTGTAAGATAATCACAGAACTGCTAGAGTGGGGAGCACCGCACTTGTGATGAGAGAAGAATATGAAAGGAGGAGAAGTAGTTCTTAGACTATGCTAATTCTGAAATAGTCTTATGTACTCAAAGGCATTAACTATTGCTTTTATTCATATTTCAGAGATATCTCTCTCACACATATTCTTAAAAATATAAATTTACTAGAAGATTAATATTTGACTGGCTGAGCTGACAGAAGTCAGTAACAACTTTTTATATTTTTCAGTATATTTTGGATCAGGCCCTAAAAAAAGAATACAGAAATTAAGTGAAGCATCAGGATCTATGCAGTAAAAGAAAAGAGAGACAAAGATGAAAAAACTAAGGATTCACAGAAATAATTTTTTCCATTTAAATGAAGAGTTTTATGTCTGAATTTTAACATGCTCTATGCAGCTCGTCATTCAAAAACAACAAATGTCTTATTGCATGTGAGCCAAAAAATGAACTAATTTATTTTTTATTGTCCAGAATGAATTAAGCACAAATTGTAAACAGCACGAAAGCTAAAGAGGAAATAAGAGCTCTCCAAAAATTTCATTTTTAATACAGTGCAGACTTGCAGGTAATACAAGTGAAAATACTGATTATAAATATGCACACACTACTTAAAATACAACTCTGAACTTTTATTCCCTCAAAAGTACCTCTAAAATCTTGAACAGTTTAAATTAAAATCATTTAAATTAACAATCCCCACACCACAAGAACACTGGGTCAATATTAGCATCTGGTTTATCAGAAGCCCCTCCTAAGGCAGTTCCTGGAACTGAAAGGCACCAGTGGCTGAATTACAGCAAATCAGCGTCCATTTACTAAAAAGTTCTGAATGTAAAGCCAACACAACGCTAAGAAAAAAGAAACTGAAGTACTTTCAGAGAGAAAGGGGCCTTTCCTCAGTCTTTCCCCGTGATACTCAGATGAGTATTTGTTGCACTACAGAAACATAATGAGCACAGTTAAAAGGGCTCCCTGTTCAGATTTGAAATAGCTCTTCCTTTTTTTCGAAAGACACAGGTCTTAGTGTCAGTCCACACTAACACAGCAGTGTTAGCTAGCAGTGTTAGATCTAAAGATCCTGCTCCTTTGACACAACACATAAAGTATGGTTTTAACCCATCGTCTTGCAGGTCAGCAGCACCCACCCAGCGAACGTACCCGACTGCATCCTGCTGCTACTCTTACAACAGATGCCGTGCCCAGACAGGAGGAGTTTGCACTGCTCTTAGCAATGAGACCCATGACTTCTTGCAGTCCCAAGCTGTGCACAGAGCATACACAGTGCCAGTGAAGGGGCCCCACTGGCAGCCTCTGGAAACATTTTGAAAAGTCACTGTATTTATAAAGGTCTCTTTTCCCCGCCCCTCAAAAAAATTCTCCCCCCCCCCCCCCCCCCCAAAAGCGGAAACCTAATATATGGGCACACAAGCAAGCCGCTGTGTGGTGAAAACAGGGTGTGAACTTTTACCGCATGTTAGCTGCTCCATAAAACTGCTCAAGTTCAAGTGAAATAGTAAGCTCAGTGAAACAGCTTCATCTGGCTAAACAGAGAACTCATTTTTTTCACTACAGTGACCCCAGCCACCAGGTTCATTTCATTCTTCCCATGAAAGAAGTTAAGCTCTTTTGCATTTACCACTCAGCACAAACAGTTACTGTGGAGAAGCAAATTCACACCTCTGCTTACCTTCACAGTAACTTGTTCTTCTGTCAATTCCCTTGCTGCCTACTCTTCAGATGAGTTTTCAGAATTTGCTACCCCAGAGCACAACTAGCTCAAAAACCCTGGGACTGGTTCTGCAGTCTCTACTCAGACAACTACTTTTTCTTCATTAAAGTCAATAGCAGTTTTGTCTGAAAAAAAGATTAGAGAGCTCATACCCAGTATGAACTGAAAGAGGATTTTGTTTTAATGCTTAAGTATATTACTAGAGTAAAAAAAAAGACAAAGAATACAGTGGTTGACAAACATCAGTAAGATATCAATGACCAGATGGCTCATTTTCTAGAAGAAATAATGGCATAATCCCTGACCCAAAGCACTTTCCAACTCCAGAAGTGGTGCAATAAAGAAGTAACAAAACAAGAAGAGCAGGAACACAATGCAATAATCAATGGAGTCTAGTGTGAATGGCAGGTGAGATGAATATGAATTATTTATC